CTCGTCGTTGATCATGATGAGCTCGCACTGGTGCGTCCCAACGTCCCGCTCCAGGAAGACCCTCGCGCTCTGGTTGCCCAGCAGCCGCAGCTCCGGGCCGCTGTCGGAGGCCGCGCTGTTGCTGTTGTTGGAGATCTGCAGTTTGCTCCAGCCCGCCCAGTTCTTCGTCAGGAAGAGATCGTCCGAGAAGTCGGAGGTGTTGGTCACGGTGAGCGTGTTGGACGCGAAGAGCTGCGGAGCGGAGACCGTGCCCGAGCTCGTCACGTCGCCGCGCACCACGCTGCCCGTCGACACTCCAGCGGGCCCGCGGACGCCGCCCCGGTGATGGTCAGCGTGGCGCCCGTGACCGCCCCGGTGGCTGCGAAGCTCGCCGCGGTTGCTGCGCCCGAGGCCGTCAGCGTGCCCGTGGACACGTCGCCCACCGTGGTGAAGTTCCCGGCGTTGGCCGTGTTGTTGATCGTCAATGTGCTGCCGGTGATTCCGGTGGCCGAGCTCAGCAGGCCCACGCTGGCCGCCCCGGTGATGCTCAGCGAGCTGCCCGACACGGCGCCGGTGGACGACAGCGTGGCTCCGGCGACGGTGCCGGCTGCTGTGAGCGCTGCGCAGGAAATGGCGCTTGAGGCGTCCACGCCCGTCGTGAACACATCGGTGCAGTTCACGTCGTTGCACAGCAGCTGGCCCTAATCTGCATGCTGTACAGGTCCAGCGTGCCCGCCGACTGCTGCACCAGCCCGGGGATCGACCCACCGAAGGCTCCGACTCCGCCCAGCGGCGCCGGGAAGTCCAGGCGCGCCGTACTCCAGACGCCCTGCGAGGCCGTGCCGAGGAAGGTGCCGGCATGACGTGCAGTACTTCCCCAGCTCGCTGAGCTCGTTCTCCCCCACCACCTCTCGGGTCTGCCGCATCCCGCTGACCAGCGGCACGTCCTTCATCGACCCCGAGTCAATCAAGATCGCCTTCCGCGTCAGGAACACGGACGGCACCAACCCGCTGGCCCCAGCCACGCCCAACCCCGCCTGCTTCGTCCAGCGCGCCCAGGTCTTCGCCAACGGCCAGCGCTGCGACGACATCAACTACTACGGCCGCACCGTGGCCGCGCATGACCTGCTCAAGGGCCGAGAGTACAACCGCAACAAGGCCATGGAGGGTTTCGACGAAGTCAACGACCCCCGCATCGCCCGCGCGGTGCACCAGGGCGGCTACGCGGACGTGCTGCTGCGCCCCACCATGGTGGGCATCCTGCGCTGCGGCATGAAGTTCCTGCTGGGCCGGGCGGCCCATCAGCGCGCCGTTGGAGCACAGCCAGCTGATCCGCGACCTGGCCGGCGGGCACAGACACGAGCTCACGGAGAACATGCGCTCCGACCCCGGCATCTTCAACTTCGTGAAGTGGCTGCGGGTCGGCGAGGAGGCGTGCCCCACGCTGGAGCAGGCCAAGGCGAGGCTGAAGGAGCTCTACCCCTCCAAGCCCGGGTGGCCGGACACCACGCTGGTCATCAAGCGCATGGCCGTCAACGCAGCGGCGAACCGGGCCCTGGCGCCCCAAACCTCAAAGCTCCTAGAGCTGGAGACACAAGTCATCCACATAGATTTGGGGTGCTGTCAAACACCCAATGGGTGTGATAAATCTATAACACAAAACAGCCCGCAGAGCACGCCTCATTGGGGCCGGCGGAAAGATACCCAAGGGGGTTTTTGTGGCCGTGGCGGAAGTGGAGCCGGACGGAGTGAGGCTGGACAACGGCATGCGGCTGAAGAACCAGGAGCTGCCGCGGGCCACCCGGCCGAGCCACGCAGTGACCTACGCCAGCTGCCAGGGCCTCACCCTCCACAACCGCGTCCGCCTGGACCTGGAGTCATGCCACCTCACGCTGCGCCACCTGTACGTGGGCGCCTCAAGGGCCACGAGCTCCGAGCTGCTGGAGGCGGCCTAGCCGAACGGGCAGCACGGCGCCTCCAGGGGCTCCAGCATGAGGTGGCGCACCTCAAAGAGCACGCCCCACTGCCTGCCCATCAGCCACACGTGCCGGGCCTCCACAAGCGCGCGGCCCTTGCGACGCGAGAACTCCGCGGGGCGCGGCACGCGGTTGCCGGCCGGGTCCCAGAAGAGGCAGCGCTCCAGGTCAATCTTGCACTTGACGTGCTTGCCCTTGGCGCTTACCTTGACGGCGCGCTGCAGCTGGCTCTCAAGCTCGGTGCGGGCGGCCCCGTCGTCCTGGAAGTTGCCGGGCTCACGTCTACCTTGCACACCAGCGCGCCCTGATGGGAGTCCTCTATGGACATGAACTTCCCCCCCTTGGCATTGGTCTGAACGTCCAGCCCGAGTGCAAGCTTCATGGTTGCGAAGTTCGGCTCCTTTTTTTATCCATAGGAAAAAAGTCCGGTCCGATGAACGCGCGAGTTTTCTTGGTCGTCGCACTGGCGGTGATCTTGCTCTTTAAAAATGCCGAGACTCCTGGAGCTTTTCTGCGGCACCAAGTCGGTGGGCAGGGCCTTCGAGGCGGCGGGCTGGGAGGTCGTCTCCCTGGACATCGAAATTTGAGCCCACCATCCTGTGCGACATCCGGAGCTGGGACTACACGACGTTTCCGCCGGGGCACTTCGACATGGTTTGGGCCAGCCCGGTCTGCGCGGAATACAGCCGCGCGCTGACGACGCGCCCGCGGCGGCTCCTGGAGGGCGACGCGCTGGTGCTCAGCGCCCTTGAGATCATTGCACACTTTGACCCGCTCATGTGGGTCATCAAGAACCCGGCCACGAAGACCCGCCCGTTCATGGAGCGCCTGCCCTGGGTGGACGTGACCTACTGCAAGTTCGGAACTCCGTACAGGAAGCAGAGGACCAACATGCGCTGGAGGCCGAGGCGAGGCCTGTGCAGGCCCGGCAGCCGCTGCAAGGCGTGGCAGGACGGCAGGCACCTCCGCGCCGCGCAGCGGGGGCCGCGGCTGATGGAGGGGCAGTACGAGAGGGTCAGCCAGTCACGCGAGCTGCTCTACAGCGTTCCTGCTGCGCTGCGCGACGAGATTGCGCGCGCGGCCACGGAGGAGCTTGCGGAGCGGCTGAGCATTCCGGCCGGGCTAGCCCGTTCTGGCTTCCTCTAATCCGAGGGGCCTGGAACAAAGCCAATTTTTCCGTGTTTTTGCTGGTTTTTTGGTGCTCAACGCCAAAAAAGGCTAAGAGGGAGGCCTTTTTTTTTAGTCCAGCACAGAGACGCCCGTGCCGGAGAGCGTCACCAGCTGGTAGGCCACCAGGTGGATGAACAGGTCCGTCATCGTGCCGTCCAGGCCCTTGAAGGTGAACCGGGCAAGGTCGCCCGAGCGGGTGCTGACACCACGCAGCGGCATCTTACGCGCTCGGTAGGAAAGCCGGCAATGAAGCTGTGGCGCAGGTAGCCCACGCGGCCGATGTCGATGTTGCGCACCGTGTCGTCGGAAGTGCCCGCAAGGACGGAGAGGAAGTGGAAGTGCTCCGAGGCTCCCTTCATAGGATTGTGAGGGTACTGCAGGCTGCCCAGCTGCATCTGCAATTCCAGGAGCTCGCCGCGCCGATGAGGGCCACGTCCTGCCCCGGGTTGGCCAGCAAGTGGATTTTGGAGCCCGCGTCGTTGTCCCAAAAGGTCACGAACGCGCCCATGAGTTTCGTGAAGGCGCGCGCCACGGTGACGTTGTGCTCCGCCACTCCGTTCGGGACGCTGGACTGCTGGGTGTGCACCGTGGGGTAGCTGAACACGAGGGACCTTCGTGAGGAGCACGCGGTTGAAGGACTCTACCAGCGCAGAGTCCAGGACGACCTGAGCTGCAGGATCGGGGCGGCAGGGTCTCCCAGCAAGGCCTCCACCTGCTGCCTGACCCGCTGGGACACCTGCTCCTCCGTGAGGTGGGCCGGGTGCCTCGTCATGGCGCCGCCCAGCTCGTTCACCGGCAGCCAGTCCCTGCGCTCGTAGCCCGCCCGCTGCGCCGCCTGCCCCGGATGATCACCGGCACGTGGACCAGGTACTCGTAGTACTTGTCGCGGAAGAAGCCCTTGCCCAGCTTGGTCAGCCGGTGCTCTCCGCCCTGCAGGGAGCGCACGAGCTTCTTCCGCCCGTTGCACAGCAGGATGTAGTCGTTGGGCCCCTCGCGGATGAGGGGCTGGTTGTAGTCAAAGTCCTTGCTGGGAGGCCGCAGGCCCAGGTGAGAGTAGTAGCGCTGGCCCGCCCGGGTCAGCTGCCCGTCCGCGCGCGAGAGCAGCGCGTAGGCCCCGGTCCGCGCCGCAGGTTCAGCACGACGGCTCCATCCGCCCCCGTGCGAGCCCGGGCGCCGCTGTCCGCGGCCTCCGTAATCTGTTGTCGTTGTCTCGCCCAACTTGCCATTCTTTTTTTACGGGGCCAGTTTTTTTTTGGTCCGGCCGCGCGCATTCTCCGGATCTGTGCGCAGATGGTTGGGGAGCTTGTTTCGCACGGTTTTGCGCTGAAAAAATGCTATTACTCCAGTCCGTATATCTATATACGGACTGGAGTAATAGCTTGTTTTGCACGATTTTTGCATGGCATGACATTTGCTTGGCGCGCGTGTCTTGGCATGGATTTTTTTGCATGGCAGGATTTTGCATGATTTTCATGTTTTGTTGACACGACATGTGGAGGGGGCATGTTCTGGTGCAGATCTTGGTGGCGAGCAATCATGTGAGGACTTTGAAGGTTGATTTTTTCGTTGCAGCACCTTGGCCCAGCTCGGACACAACAGCATCAGCAGCAGCAACAGCAGCAGCAACCCTCGGCTCGGAAACAGCAGCACCAGCAACCCCTCGGCTCGGCTCGGAGACAGCAGCAACAGCATCAGCAGCACCAGCAGCAACATCAGCAGCAACGTCAGCAGCACTAGCTCGGCAAGCGGGCGACACAATGTCGTCCGGGCAATGGTGGGACGATAGCTGGCGTGCTCCGAGGCCAGCGTGTTTTTTTTGGTCTTTGTCGGCGCCATTCATGACCTAGGCGTGGCCCTGCGTGGGATCGGCGGCAGGAGGGCTTCCAGAGGCGTCAGGACGAGCGGATGGAGCAGGCCCCCTTGTTTGTTTTGGTCCCTCACATCATTCGATTTTTTCCAGGTACGCCAGATCGCGTCCCTCACCGAGCAGGTGAAGAACGAGACTGCCCGCGCGGTGCGTGCTGAGCAGAAAGTGGAGGCGTTTCGCAACCAGGTGGCGCAGCAGAACGCGGACATCCACGCGATGGCCACCGAGCTGACGGTGGGGAGGCTCAAGATCGCGGAGCTGCAGAAGGAGCTCGACAAGGCGCATGCGTTGTTTACGGGCTTCAGACTGTGGTTTTTTCCTGTGGAAGGCAAACACGCCGAAGAGGGCGCGGAAGGAGCTCGACAAGGTGCCTCAGGTGCGTTCGTGACCCACTCCTCTGTTTTTTTTCTTTTCTTTCGCAGGCGGACACCTCGAAGAAGACGCGGAAGGAGAAGTAGACCTAGGCCTGTCGCGGCCCCATTTGCCTTTGAGTTGCATCAAACCCTCACTTGTGCGTCAATGTCATCCATTTTTTTACAGCTGTGTTCCTGCTCACCTGACATGCAATTATCCCTCCGTCAGGTGGCCATCTGAGCAGCATCGGCGGCCCGCGCCGGCCTTGCTCTCTTCTTTGTTTGAGTTGCGCCCCCTGCGCATGCGTCAAGGTCGTCCATTTTTTTGCAACAATCTACGGGAGGCGTGATGTTTGATTGTGCATTCACACTGCATGGACACATGTTCTGGGCGGTTCTCACGCGGTCGTTGACAGGCGCTCATCTGAGAGGGCATCCGCGATTTGGACCGCCGGCAACGGCAAAACGAGCTGCTCGAGCAGCCGACGATGTCGTGTCGTGTGTTGGGGGGGACGGGGCCGCTGTGAAAGCGGCGGCCACTGTATAAGTGGCGGGGAGGGGCCGCTGTTCAAGTGGTGGCAGGCCACTGTACAAGTGGCGGGTGGTGCGGCCACTGTTCAAGTGGCAGGGCAGGCCACTGTATAAGTGGTTGAGCGTGCGTTTTAGGGTAGGACGTGCCGAGCGGGCACTTAGGTAGGAGGCGCCGAGCGGGCACAGTGCCGAGCGGGCACTTTAGGGGTAGGAGTGCCGAGCGGGTACGGCGCCGAGCGGGCACGTATACTAGGTTCTCCCAAGGGTTTGCAGGGCTCATGTCCATGATTTCCATGAGCTCACGTCAGGCAAGTGACTTTTGAAAATCTTGGTTTGGCGGAGTGAGGTTTGCTCTTGATGCATGCGCAGTGAGGTGGGAGGCAGGTGAAAATGTTGTTTGATAGAAGCGCGCTACTTCGACGGGCTTGCGTAAGCAAGGTCTTTCCAAGAACACGCTGGAACTGCGTTACTTTGATTGCGCTAGCTGCTTTCACGGCAGAAGGAAGGAGTAGTTGCTTGCAGGCCAGGCAGCTTAGCGTGTTTAGCCTTGACGCCATCAAAGTCAGGGCAGCAAAATGTTTGTATGGCCAAATTGCTTGTCGCAGTCGTGCTTCAAAGCACGCCGGTGGCAAAAGTTCAGAGCTTGCTGGGGTGATTCACAGGGTGGGGGGTGTCTTTAATAGTTCCAGCGAGAGCATGGGGTGCGCAGGGGGTAAGAAGACGTTTTTTTTAAGGATCCTCTTGCGCTTAATTGCAAGGAGGCGGAAGATGCTTTGGTTCGTCTCGGCTTGCTCTGGTTTGCCTTTGCGCGGCGTTTGGACATCGGACACGTTGTGCTTTGAGAACTTTCAGCCTCTTGGACATTGAGTTTCTAGAAGGTCTTTTGCATTCGCTCGGCCGAGCCAATGTCCGCAGCAAATTTACTTTCAGCAGGCTTTTCAAGCTGAGAGCGCTTGTCCTCAGCGCATTCGGCTTCTGGCCATGTCGCTTTGGCTTTTGGTTCAGTTCGACATTGTAGATGCCCGACGGCCTGACACTGAGGAGCACAAAGGTTCACAAGCGCCGCCTTAAGCCATTGCTTGTGACAACTTGTGGCAGCTGAAGCAAGCTGCGCATTATTCCGCAAGCAGTGCCGGCTTCACCATTTCACACTGCATTGTTGAGATGCAGCCTGGCAGCCTGGCGTTTACAGACGCCCTGCGGCAGATCACCCGTGGCATGTGCTAGTTGCGCAGCGCGGCGGACAAAGATCTTAAGGGACTCGTCAAGCTTCGTTGGCGCGGGATTGTGCGGCTGCAAGGATGCCGTCTGCGGCTGAAAGTAAGCCGTTTTTTAAAAGACGCCTGCGGCCTGTGGTCTGGAGAGTGACTTCCGCGGCGTTACAGTTTCGAACAATGCGATGTCGCCCTGTCTTTCTCAAGATTTACCGGGCTGCAAGGATGCCGGCCGGCGGTGCCCAGCGCCTGCCTGCCAGTGCCAGCGCCGCACGGACCACATCCACGGTCCGACTGGTTTCAGTTTTGGTTCGCGCTGCTTTCAAGCGCTCTCGGCTTAACGCCGATGTCATTTGCGGCGTGGTTGCACAGCTACCCAGATGGCTTTCGACAATCCACGACCAATCTGCCATGGCGGGGCGGGAAGGGGAGTGGAGCAGAAGCTGGTGCAGGTTTGCGGTCCTTTCGCTTGCCTAGCCCACCATGGCTGCAAGGGCGGGTTGAAAGTGTTTTGCCGGTCGCTGCCAGACAGGCAGGAGCAGAAGGCGGGGATAATAGACCCAAGCTGAGTTGCTTAGCTCATGTCGCATTCGGGTGCGCTTACCAACACATCCTTACCCCCATGACAGAAGAAGAGGAGCTGCTGCTTCAATACTTGCATTATCCTTCAGATTTTTTTTGCCTGAAAGTGTTAGATTGCTGCCGGGTAGAAAAACCTTTCTATGTAGGATCTGCAACGGCTGAAAGGTTCAATCGGGATGCTCAGGGCTATGTTGCGAGCTCTGATAGTCGTGAAGCAAGCCGTCTGGCGCAAGCCTCCATGACTGTACCTTTTTTGCCATACGCGCCAGAGGCCAGCCTTGGCGATGCTGCATTGCTTGACGCGGGAGCAGGCGCTACTGCGCAGGAAGCGCTGTCCACATGGCAGGTCGAAACCTCTGCGGACGCTTGCTTGGCTATCCCAGTGCCAGGCTTGTTGCTAGAACTGCTGGCCCGCAGGGCTTGGCCAGTCATTCCATGTCTGGGCAGATGGCTGAACGTGGTTGCAAGGTTGCAGAAGTCTGCACCCTGGCGTGTGTGAGAAGGGCCTTGCAGAGCCACAGCCTCATTTAGGTGAGTTGAGCGTGGGCCAGCTGTCTCACATGATTCGCCTTTTGCGGGCATGGGCGCCAGTGCTTGTTCGTGAGCACCCTGGTCAGGAAAGCAGCGCCGAGACCGAGAGGTGTTTGCAAGACGCAGTGCAGTGGCTTGTGAATGTAAGGTCAGCATTGCCGGGTCAGCAGCTGCCCGCAAGCGGGTCCAAGAGAATGTATTCTTCTTTGTTTTTGGTCAAGTGCATGCTAATGTCCCGTCTAGTGCCTTCATATGTGAACTTGAAGGAATTGTGCTTAAACGCCATGGACCTTCTATTTCCATCCTTGCTTCGTTCTGTGATCGATGACCTTGCGGACTCCAAGCATGTTTTTCCTGGCAAGTCCTCAAAGCATGTGATGCGACTCGCTTTAGATGTTGCCATGTTGCTAAGCGTTCGGCGCGACATAGAGTTGGATGATTACGTCCGGTTTGGCGGGGCAGATTCTTCTCCTCAACACGGCCACAACTGGCTGCTGTCTTCGTATTGGAGTGTTCCAACCCAGGATCTCGCGTCGCTGTTTTTCGCTGCGCAGGCCCTCACAGAAGAGTGCAAAACTCGCGCCCTTGAGCCACAAAAATATGAGCAGTCTGAAAGCAGCAGGGCAAATCACGCGCAACTTGCCAAGCTGTTGCGCAGACAGCACGATATTCCAGTAGCTCTGGGGCAAGGAGCAGAAGACCTTGCCAACAAATGCAGCGCTGTGGCGCACAAATGGGCCATGTTGCTTGGTGATCGGGCCAAGCTGCGGCCGTTTGCTCAATCTTTTTTTTCATACACTTCTGACATGGGCACTGAGTTGGGCATTGCTGATTTTCGTGTGGGATCAATGACCGACCTCCTTCCACCATGGCTGTTGCAGGCTGAGACTGAGTTGGAAAGCGACCTACCTTGCAATGTTGTTGACGCAAGCATGCTGGACACTGGCCTTGTGTGTGACTTGGCGCTGCCCAGGGAGGCCTGTGCCCTGACTGTGCAGCCGCAGCCCCAAGCCCCTGCAAGCAGCTCAGTGTCAGAAAGCGAAAAGTTCTTACCTTGCGCAATGGCAGTGCCTGGGATGCTGCACATTGTAAATAACGCGTTGGCCGAGGTGTCCAGCAAACTTGCGCACTGGAACGATTTTTTTGAACAGCTCAAACAGTTTGAGGCGCTATGGTCGCACGGGCGGCTCAAGCGGTTTGTTGCGTTCTGTGTGCACTCATCTGCGTTGCCTAAAGCATGTCCAGAGCTTCTTCGACACAAGCTGGGTAGTTTGTTCATGTCGCGCTGGAACGAGGTCGTCCGCTTTTGCCAGCGCTTGCGCCGTGTGTTGCCCATCATACGTTGCACTTGGGACCAGAGAAAATACGAGCATGGAGCTTCAGGAGGGCAGGTTTTCGCCTTCAGAGTTTTCAAAGATCCTTAAAGACCCTTTTTTCTTTGCTTACTTTGACATGGTGCTTTGCCTGGTGCAGGTCATGGAGTCATTGGGGGCGTGGTCTGAAACATGCCCTTGCCATGAGGATTTGCAACCTGTTTTTTTGGCAATGCCGCTGCAGCCAGGAGCTTGCCCGCGCAGTTTGACAAAAACAGAAAGCCTGCCTGTCAAACAGCCGATCTTTTTCAGAAGGCGGTGGAGACTTGCCCTATGCGGGGCAAGCGCCTTCCTGAACTTGCAGCTTATGGCGTTGACTGGTTGCTTGCTGAAGTTCGGGAACTAGTTTTCAGCAGTCTCCTCACAACACACTGCCACTTGCTCAGCCAAAGCCAATGGCAGTCTCTTGTTTGTGATTTCGAAGCAGGCAAGGCACACGCAGAACTGGAGTTCAGATTGAAGACTGACTGGACCCAACGCCTTCCGTGGAAGCTGGCTGTCTTGGCTTGTGGCGACCAGGGCTTGGCTCGCCGAGAGGTGCAAAGTCTGGCCGCGGCATTTGACTCGCAAAGCGGCGAACTTCAAAAGCTCCATCACCCAGCAACCTTGCAAGTGCTCGCCAAGGGGGGCCAGGGCAGGCAAGAGGTTGATCGGTTTCTAAGTGGAGCAGCCTTGGAGGACTTGCCAGAGCTTTTGCGCTTTGCAGCTTGCTGTCGTTTTGTGCAAATTTCTGAGAGGCAATACGAGGCAGCCCATTCCATCCTCAAACGCAGAACGCCTCCCAACGCATCAGGGCCGTGTGTCAGCCTGACTTTGCGCCTACAGAACCTGAGCGCAGATGTGCGCTTGCAACCTGGAACCTTGTTGCTTGTTGCTGAACACATGGATTGCACCCGTGCTGTGGCAAATATTCCACACTTGCTGAACATCACACAGCACCCAAGCTTACTCGTGGCCAACCCGCGCCAGCGATGGAAGCTGGTGAGAATGTTGAACGAAATCCTCTATCG